AGGGGTAACAGCTCTTACCCAGCATGTTGTTCTTGATGATCTACGATTACAAACCCGCTCTCCACAGTAACCCTACTCCATCCAAGGTAACTATCCAAATATAACTAGCTAATGGGCTTCATTTAAAATCAACTAGCTAACATTATAAAGAACAAGCCAAGTAGCCTGATCGCATGAACATGCACATGTGCCTTTTTCATGGCCACTATGTAAATTAGGGAACCATAACGAGAGCTAAATATGATATTTCATAAAGCCCTTGATTTACTAATCAACTTGAGTAACTAATTAGGTTACTCATTTTGGGATCAGCAAAATGGTATTGATGCATCCATACTTTCGAATCTGGCTGCTCTCAAGGTTTCTTCCTCATGTCGCCTCTGGCTTGCTAGAAATCGAAACCTACATCCGGATTTCTGCAAAGCTGCTTTGTGGCAAAGCCTATTGTTAAAGGTGTTACTCAAGTTGAATTGAAACTGAGCTGAAAACATATTTGCACATCATATCAAGAGTTATGGACCAGTGTCATTTGACAAACTTTACAGTAAGGGAAAAACAGTGTTTACATTTGGCCTAATTGTGTTAACTGACAGTTTTGCAAATTGAAGTCCTGGCTGAACATTCATATTTGTTTTGCTGCTATGTCACATTCAGACCTATATAATTTCAGATGCATATCTAATTTTAACCAAAAACAAATCTTCATCATATGTCGTCAACTTGAATACACTGCAAAAACAACCAGACTGCTGTAAGCTGAATAATTTAAAACTAGATATATATAAATTTCATAAGCTGTAAGGTCATGTTACATTCTACAGAAACAAATGACTTCCAGTTAGAAAGCATTTAATATTTCATGCAAAAGGTAACGCGTCTGCTTGTAACGCACAGTGTCAACTGCATCACTTAATGACTAACACCTGATACTGGCTCAATTAAGACATTCCCCTATGTTTTATGCATTATTTACATCTCAGTATTAAGTATTTTGGTTGGTGGTAGTGAAGGTTAGTGTAATTTTGCTTGTTATCATTTTAACTGCATTCAAAATTTTATAACTGATGAAACAAGCTCCTCAGACAAGAACAACTGTCACATGTTTCATTTCTTTCTTAATACACGGCTATGCCTCACTTCGTCTTATTGCCCGTCAGCTTTATTCCACTTTTCCACCGGCTGAGTGTGCAGAGTTTTTTGGTGTTTCACCTGCTGTTCCAATTAATCTCCCAAGTTTTCTATGGGATTAAAGTGTTTTGATATTGAAGGCCAGCCAAAGTGTCTCAGTGTTCCTTCATGCTGCTTGAAAAAGTCACACACTGATTCACACACTATGGACCCTACATTTGTCATCCTGGGATGTAGGCAAACCTGAAAGGAGGGGTGTTCCGGTTTAAAATTTTCATGGTATTATAACCTAGTCTAGAAACCTCAGGGTTTCACAGCATCACTGCATGAATCAACCATTAAAAAAAAAACACATAAAGCAGTGGTCTAAATTAAAGAAAAAAAAATTACAAAATTTTCAGCCTAAGATCAAATCCCCTAATTGATCATCTTTCTTGGAGATCTATTTTTGACAGCAAGCTTTTCTCTTACACTGTCAGCATTTATCATGTTGTTATAGAAGCTGAGGTTTTGGAAAAAGTCAAGTGAATTAACCATCCAAGCGTACACTGTGACTAACTGTGAAACTGTGCCACTGTAACAACTGTACCGTCTGGTTTTATGCTATTTTTAATAACCATCCAAGTGTGCAACCTATTGACACTGTACAATAAGGTGACATTACTGTTGACTGCGACTCACAGCAGTCCTAGGAAGTTAGCTCTATAGTATATGAATAATGAACATGTACTATATATAAAAAGTCGTGTACAGAATGTACGAAGTTTCACCCTCCAGTAATTTCCAGCAGGGAAAAAAAAAAAAAAATGTAGCAGATGCTGAAGTCAGACACTTAGCTTCCTACAAGCTTACAGAACTGAGCTAGTACTTCCCTCAGACAGTGGCAGATCTTCCTCCACCGCCTCAGGGCCTGCAGCGCCTCTGTTTCGCAGCTCCTGCCCGTGCTGGATAATGTAGTGATAGCCATCTCGCTTTCACTTACTCGCTCGCTCACCACTCTGGCACAAGTCTAGTGATTTATTTATCCTCATCAGTGTTCAATACCTTAGCACATTACAAAGCAGTATTCTCATCTGGAGTAACAGTTCTGGGCCACGAGCGGGTCACACAGAATTACGTCTCCTGAGGTTTAAGGGCACAGAAGTCTCAGGGGATGGATAGGGGGAGAAGTTCGGACCACTCTCAGGAGCAGGAAAGCACTTCATAAATTTTAACGGCAGGTCTTGGTGAGAGACCGTTTGGCGAGAGAACGGTATGCAAAAATGCCCCAGTCTCCACAACGTCATGGAACTGTATTGTTTGCATTTTAATAAAATAATTAGAGTATTCAGGTGAAATGTCTGTTACACTGTAAAGACACAAATGAGCTATGTAAATCTGAATGAATTTTCATGTTTGACAGACAAAAAATAAGGATCATTAAATTTCAATTAGTGGTGGAGAACATAGGAAAATAGCATGATATCATATCACAATACTCAAGAATCACAATATTTATTATGATTATTTTTTTCTGAAGAGGTTAAAAAAAAACACTAGCAGAACAACTATGCCACAAACATGAAAAAAAACTATAACTCCTTATAACCTCCTATAACTACATAAGAAGGAACAAGGGGGAGAACTTTAACATCCATCAGCTACTTGTTACTGTGAGTACAAGTCCAATATGAATTATACGTCCAAAAAAGCCTGTTGTGACCATTTATATCACTCGCCTTATTGACCAACATGAACAACACCTTAATGAACATATCTGTGGTTGTTAAGTGGCAAAATTCAGAAATGAGGCTGAAAAGTAAGTTCCAATATTTACACATAGAGACCAGAGGTTCACGACATTATCGATATTTATGAACACGCTGTAATTTATTCATGCTAATTTATCTGGAGGTATCATTACTCATGGATTGAATAAATGTTAGACAATACGGGTGGATTTCATCAACAGTGAAACAAACGTCAATCAATACATATGCTAACCTACTTTAACATTATTCGTGGTTAATTAATGCTGAAGAGTTTGCAGCTATGTTTAATATATCGGTAACTCTTTGGTACCATAAAAGATTTCTCTGGATAATCTCCAGCTTACAGCAAGACACCAAGAATTAACTTGCATCTGGGAAAAATATCATGTGTCAGGGAACATTTGTCAAAGGATATAAAATACTTTTACATCACTTCAGATCAACCAGGCCCTTTTATCTCCTTCATTCCACACAAAGTCCCTGATCTCGCACAACAAAGGTATTTCTGCAGCCTTTCAGTGCATCAATTAAAGCATCATCACTGAGCTCATATTTCCACATAATTGACATTTCCTAACAAAAAGGGAGTAACACAGGGGCATACAGTTCCTCATTTAGGCCTGCACATTGCTAATTCAGACACTTTCTGGTTAACAAGCTTTGAACAAAGCCGAATTAAGCCTTACAATAAGAGAAGCCCTGGCTCAGCTGCTGGCTGTACATCATTAGGTGAATGCCGCTGAGTGCAGCCCCTTCATTACCAAGGCAGAAGTGCAACAGGAACATGGACGCCTATCGTTTAGGGCAGGCTACAAAGCAGACTCGCTGACGCTTCTTTTCCAGGAGAGCGGTCAAAGCCGAGTATCAGAACATAGACATCTAAGGCTCGGGACCAGGAGAGCGAAGCTGTAGAACTGATATATAGCTGGACAAAAAAAAGATTCACGGAATACAGACTTCAAAGCGAGCCTCTGTAGCTTTTACCAGAGACAAAATAGGCTGGGACATCAACTAACCCAAAATTTAAACACATTTTCACAATTTGCGTTTGCCAGCAGTCTATAAAATTGCTGTGTAGCATCGAGTAGTAATGCACAGATCCCACTTTTCCCATATCTACTACCGACATCTTCCCAGCAACCAAGCTGAATCTCTGCATGTTTCTGATGCCAAGATATGGCAGAAGAAGAAAAAAAAAAAAAAAAAAAAACACAATCTGAGGCACCACAGTGGTGTGATTTAAGACAATTTGTGTCCTATGTTAATACAAAAGCTGCAATATGTTAGTCAATATAGGCATTTATGCCACAAGATATGCCAGTAGATCAAGAAACCACCAGAAAACATAATATAGTAGAATACGATCCAATACCAAAGCAGCATTTCATATCTAGTGTAAGCCCTGATATCGATACTCAATATTGAACCAGTACATGTCTATCAATAAGGTAAGGTAAGGTTAGGTTAAACTTTATTGTCATCGCCAGAGTACGAGTACAGAGACAACGAAATGCAGTTAGCATCCAACCAGTAGTGCAAATAGCAAATAAGCTAAATGAAATAAATAAGAATGATGGTGCAATAAGCTGGGATAATCAGTATAGGGGTAAACAGCATGATGCATGCAATATGATACAGTAGATATATACTGGACACGTATATACCAACATTGGAAAATGAGAACAAGCCTGGGAGATTTAGGACACATCCACACACAGTTCAAGAGTTCACTTTTTAAGTGAGAAGTCTTTTCAGATGTAATAAAAAGATGGACAATCATAAATTAATTAGCTAGCCCAGAGGGCAAGAGGAAGCTACACTGTGCTTCCCAGGCCCATGTTTTGGTTGCCTGGAAACGTAAATGACTAGGCAAAAACTTAATAACTAACGTAATGTAATAATATACAGTGAGTTAGTTTTGTTGCCTAGAAACCTAAATGATGATGTTCTTTCGGCTGCTCCCATTAGGGGTCGTCACAGTGCATCACTGGTCGGCATATATGATTTGGCACAGTTTTTATGCCAGATGCCCTCCCTGAATCAACCCTCCACAGTTTTATCCGGGCTTGGGACTGGCACCGGAAGCGCACTGTCTTGTGCAACCCCAGTGGCTGGGGTCAGTTCCCCGGCCAGGAATCGAACCTGGGCCGCGGTGGCTGAGAGCGCCAAGGCCTAACCACTAGTCCTCCAAGGACCCTGCCTAGAAACCTAAATGACTAGGTTAATACATGATAGCTAATGTAATATAATAATGTATAGCCAGTTAGTTAGTTTGCTAAGAGCATTAATACAGACTAAGATAAATGAATCTGTATATGAATTCCCAGAGAGGAACTTCAGGTAGCACATTGTGTATGCAACCTCAACTAAAAGCCACCAAGCTGTTGGTGAATGTTTCAGCTATGAGCTGTAGTGTTCTCTCTTCGCAACACAAGTAGACATCGTAATTAATATCACTGCATGTGTTGAGCTAGCAGGAGATTATATATTACCGTTACACTGGACTTTACACGGCTCAATTTCATCAGGTGTTTACACATTCCAGCGTGTTCCTGATTCTGAAGACATCCATGCACTCTACTTAATCTGCATAATAAAAATCTTTCTGCTCTCAGCAGGCAGCGAGATTCAGAAGCATGTGCTGTAGTTACAGCATTGAGGTGTGTCACAATACTGCGAAGTGTGTTACTTTAAACATTCATACTCAAAAAGTCTTTCCTTCTTTCTCCGGTTGCTGACGCTACATACTTGTCCACTGGGCAATCACAAATCAAAAAAAAATAAAAAATACTAATAGCTGGACAGGGAAATGTGCTTCTCCTGAGTGCCTGGGCTACAGTGTCACTCCACTTAAATCAGTAAAAGTCTTTAGGACACAAGCTCAGGCACAAGTCAGAGTGGACATGATGTGGTCATAGTCAGCAGGGATTCAGTGGGCAGTGTGGCAAAGTCAGCAGGACACTCAACTCGCAGACATGATGCATCAGAGGACAAGCAGCGTCATCAGGCTGAAGTTCACCACAGCGAGTGAGCGAGAGAGAGAGAGAGAGAGAGAGAGAAGAAATAGGACACATGAGAGCTTGCCAAGTCTGCACACTACTTCTCTGCTCCTCATTCCAAAACAGTAGCCACAAGCTGTACTCGACGTGTGTGTGTGTGTGTGTGTGTGTGTGTGTGTGTGTGTGTGTTTGTGCGCGTGTGTGTCCCAGACAAGTGGAGATGCCTTGTTTACATTTCCATCAGCCGGCCCCAGCCCAAATCCAGATGCTCTTAAGATAATAAACAAGTTCTCTTTGTCTTCAAAGGTTAAAAAGATAAAACCCAATCCAACTGCAACAGAAGATAAACACACAAACACACACACACACACACACACACACACACACACACACACCTCACTGACCTTTGAAGTCTGGAGCAGCTCACTGGTGAAGGTGATCCTTTTCAGCTCTGACTAATTCAGAATCTACATCAGATAGCGAGAGCTCGGAAGTGAATGATGTGAGGAAACCTGCATGAAATCAGCGAGAGGGAGGGAAAGAAAGAGGGACACAGATGGATGTGCGTATGTGATGTACTCCTCTGGAGCTGTGATAAAGCCTCCTCTTACTCCTCTCGCTCTCCCCCTTGCTTTAGCTGTCAGTGTGCTCTGCAGAAGCAGCACTGCTGCCATCGCCAGCCTCCATCATGTGTCCACAGGGACAGTGAAAATGAAAAAGAGTCTAACTAGATAAACCTCTGTCCCAGCAAACTGAAATGAAACACTTTGCTACATATTTGCCTTTGACACAAATTTACCAAGGACTCGAGACCACCCAATAGTGCAAGACAGCAAATACATAATAAATACGTGAAGGATGTGGGAGTGAGTGATCAGATGAGGAGTTATAAGCTTATGAGAAACGTTATTGCCCTGAATTAGGTCACAAGACATTCCTGAGAGTGTAGTGGCTATTGTCAGCACTTTTAGAACACTGACTATCTGGTATGTTACTCACAATAACAAGTACAACCTTTCTTGCTCCTGTTCCTTGTTTAACAAATCCATGAACTCAGTTCTTCATAAGCTTCTTTAAGTGAAATGTGCTGGAGGTATTTTGCTGCTGTTGGTAAAACCTCAGCAAACACAAATTTCAAAGATCCAAATATCACGTAAAGCTCAGGACGTGAGTCAGAGATTCAGAGTCAAGTCCCACTTGGTTCACACGTTGACAAACTCGTAACTCAACTTAGACTTCACTGAAATGCGATTGACTTTACTGACTTGGGACTTGGCTCAGACTCAAGATGGAAGACTCCTTAAATTTCAGCCTGGATTTAAAAAAAAAAAAATGAACAAATGTCTAATTCATTAATAAAGGACCACCAAAATTACACAGTAAAAGAATAGCACTGTTCTTTTCTGAACTTACGTATGCTGAGTTTTCTGTTATTTCCGTAACTGCCAGGCGCAGTAATTTACTGTCATGCTATTTGTGTGCAGCTCGCAGAAGAAATCATAACACAAGAAAAAAGCAGTGTTTTCCCCGGAAATAATTTAGCAGTTTTTTTTACTGAGGTGCAAGAAAACATTCAGCTTAGAATTTGAATGCATCATTATAGACTTGAGACTCTGAGATCGGGGACCAGGGACTCGCCTCGGCCCTGAGCTCGGGGACCAGGGACTCGCCTCGGCCCTCAGTCCTCAGCTCAGGGACTCAGGACTCGACTCAGCATTCAGCTCAGGGACTTGACTTAGATTTCAGCTCAGAATCTTTAGACTTGACTCAGACTTCGGGCCAGAGGCTAGAGATTTAAGACTCGACTCAGACTTGCAAAAAGTGAATTCTGAACATCTGTGTATCACGATCATTGTGTCATCATGCATTGTGATACAACGCTTCTGGGGTAGTGTCACTAATAAAATCACGTAAATTGATGCAATAGCCCTGAAATTGCTCAATCAATGACTTTATGGCATATAAGTACTTGTTCCAACGCACATTTTCCACACTCAAACCCAGGATATTATCATCATGATGCATATTTTTACAGGGAATGTTCTGCCATATGCGAAATTAGTTCTAGACCACCTCAAAGTAATAATTAGCCTCCCCTTATTCCTATGAATAAAATTAACAGTGCAAACATTAATATTAATGTGAAATAATAAAAGTGTAGTAGCTAAATAAAGCAAGCACATAAACACACATGCATTAAACACAAAGAGTATTAAAGAAGACATTACTACAGGAATGAGAGCACTAACCAAAAAAAAAATTCAAGCTTTTAAAATAAACTCACCTCTTCAATTAGAAACAGCACAGCAATTTCTCCATTTTACACACACACAGCTTGGATTGCCCAGCACTGCGGCAATATTCCAGATATAATAGCTAAAACCAGATGTGATGCTGCATTATTCTCTTCTTCCAATCAGACTTAAAGCTACAGTCTGAGGAGGGGTGATTCAGGAGTAAAATACTGTGTTTCTACTCTGAGCTGGTGTCTACGTCACTTCTGCAATAGTCATTTAGAATCAAATCACAGTCAGAGCTGACGGTGTCAAAATGTCAGGTTCAAGTTATAGGTACATGTCATATGCCAGCTCAAAAGAAATATGGCCAAAGGCCCACCCACAGGTTTCCCATACGCCCTGGACACACATACACAGGTATCGTAATTTAGTAAGAAGCCTATCCCCTTCCGGGCTTACAAAATGTTCAATGAGTATCTCACTCATTTTTCTACAAGACAAGACAATATTATCAACTCTTACATATTTTAAGATGAGCTTTCATGTTCATTCATGTATACATTGACCAGCCATATCATTAAAGCCACTGACAGGGGAAGTGAATAACACTGATTATCTCATTACAGTGGCAACTGTCAAGGGGTGGGATATATTAGGCAGCAAGTGAACAGTCAGTTCTCAGAGTTGATGTGTTGGAAGTAGGAAAAACGGGCAAGCGTAAGGATCTGAGCAACTTTGACAAGGGCCAAACTGTGATGGCTAGATGGTCGGAGCAGAGCATCTCCAAAATGGCAGGTCTTGTGGGGTGTTCCCGGTATGCAGTGGTTAGTACCTTCCAAAGGTGGTCCAAGGAAGGACAACCGGCAACAGGGTCATGGTCACCAAAGGCTCACTGACGTGCGTGAGGAGCAAAGCCTAGCCCGTCTGGTCCAATCCCACAGAAGAGCTACTGTATCACAAACTGCTGAAAAAGTTAATGCTGGCTATGATAGAAAGGTATCAGAACACACAGTGCATCACGGCTTACTGTGTATGGGGTTGCGTAGCTGCAGACGCAGTGCCCATGCTGACCCCGTTCACTGCCGAAAGTGCCTACAATGGGCACGTGAGCATCAGAACTGGACCACGGAGCAGTGGAAGATGATAGCCTGGACTGATGAATCACATTTTCTTTTACATCATGCGGACGGCCAGGTGCATGTGCGTCGCATACCTGGGGAAGAGATGGCACCAGGATGCACTATGGGAAGAAGGCAAGCTGGGGGAGGCAGTATGATGCTCTGGGCAATGTTCTGCTGGGAAACCTTGGATCCTGGCATTCATGGGGATGTTACTTTGACACGTACCACCTATCTAAACATTGTTGCAGACCAAGAGCTCCCCTTCATGGGGTGTACTTGGTATTCGCTAATGGCAGTGGCCTCTTTCAGCAGGATAATGCGCCCTGCCACACTGCAAAAATTGTTCACGAATGGTTTGAGTAACATGACAAATAGTTCAATGTGTTGCCTTGGCCTCCAAATTCCCCAGATCTCAATCTGATCGTGCATTTGTGGGATGTTAAAATGCCAAAAAAAAAAAAAGAGACCAAGATAAATCATTTCAGAAATTTTCCCACCATTAATGTGACCTTTTAGGTATGAGTCTATCAGCATGGCATATCAGCTGAAGAAAAACAGCCCCAAAGCATGATGCTTCCACCACCATGCTTCACTGTGGGTTTGGTGTTCTTCTGGTGTTGTGCAGTGTTCTTTTTGCGCCAAACATACCTTTTTGAATTATGGCCAAAAGGTTCAACCTTGGTTTCATCAGACCATAACACATTTTCCCAGATGCTTTTGGGAGATTTCAAATGGGTTTTTGCAAAATTTAGCCGGGCTTGGATGTTTTTCTTGGTAAGAAAAGGCTTCCGTCTTGCCACCCTACCCCACAGCCCAGACATATGAAGAATACGGGAG